AACTATATATATATATATATATATATATATATATATATAATCTCTTTAAAAATTATATTCTACGTTTTCAAATTTTATAAAGAAACTAATACAATTCCCCATTTATGCTTTTGTACAAAGCTAATTTTAAGTCTTTAGGAAAAAAACAAACAAACAAAACAAAAAAACAACAACTTAAGTTTGTCCAAACTTTTGACTCATAGTAAATACCATGGAAGTTTAATATGCTGAGGTCATTCAGTTCCATATTTTTAATAGGGCCACACTTTTGCCATATGACACCTTACCTGTACCATGGCACTGCCACAGTAATTTTCTGAAGAATATATAAAGTGGAAAATTTTAAGATATTTATATCCGTGCAGTCTGTTGAAAGATTGTGAAGACTGGTATCAAGTCTGGTCTAACCTGTTTTGTTGCAATAGACTGCTGTTTGTTCCTCTAGAATAGACTTTAAAACATACAGTACAGGTATACACACAAGGAGAAACAAAAGAATGCCGTAGCTTAGGTGAAATGTTATTTATTTATTTATTTATGTGAGCCAAGATAATATAAATAAAAAGTAAACCGTAATAAAAAGGACATAAACAAGAAATGTTATTGGAAACACACAATAAAAACATTTCAAGTAATTGCTTCTTTTTTTTTTTTTTTACGTTAGATGATATGGATTTCTATGTCTTCTGTCATAGAAGATTTCTATGTAATCACCATTTAATCCATCAAAAGCACTACAGCTACACACTACAGCTATACCCTGAGACAGTGAATACAACTAACTTATAATACAGTACAAAAGACCTGAAACGTCTTGGTTACGTATGTAACCCTCATTCCCTGAAGGAGGGAATGGAGACATCGCGTCGATAACCGACAAATTGGGAATCTCGCTAGAGAGACCAATCTACTTCGAGTGTAAGCTAAATGAGCCAATGCATATTGGCATGTGATGACTGCATCCAGCTGCTGCTGATTGCAGAGCGTATAAATAGGCAACATGTACAACGCATACTCTGACGAATTGGGGATCCCTACCAAAGTGCCATGGATGCTGCCCCTTCCAGTGTCCCGTGCGAGACTCCTGCGCCGCTTGTTAGAGTGTGGGCCAGGGCTCGCACCAGGAAGGCCAGTCACTGTTTCCTTTGGACTATACCTACTCAGTGAGATTGGATAACACTGGGAAAACGTACCCGTTCCACTGGAACAGCAACGTTGTGGAAGCCCCATCGTTCCCGAAGGAGGTTTCAGGTGGCACTTACACATATAGATTAACCCCTTAGGGTTTCTGTACATATGGAAGATTTAGAGGTGGTTGTAACCCCTTTGGAGGAATGGCAGAGAAGTCCATTGGGGAAACACTGGCTTAAAGCTATATGTGGAAGTATACACATATGGGATCCACTTGGGGTCATATCTACATATGGCACCCAGCCTCCTACCGGTGCTCATGGAGACATTGAGTGAAGGCCTGGCGCCGGAAGCTCCGCCACGGCTGGCTGCCGAGGGTGACGGAGAAGCTCGACAGGGTCTGCAAAGGAACTCTAAAGCAAATTTGTGACATAGCAAGCCGACACTCGGTGCTTCTACCCATTTGAGGTGAGAACACAGGAGGATCAACATTAAGGCTATAGAATCTAGCGAACATGTTGGGGGTCGCCCAGCTCTACAAATATCTGTTAGCGAGGCACCACAACCAGTGCCCAGGAGGATGCAACACTCCTGGTAGAGTGAGCTTGCAACCTGAGTGGACAGGGCACGCCCTGTGCCTGATAAGCCATGGCGACGGCATCCACTGTCCAGTGGGCCATCCTCTGCTTAGAGACGGCCTTCCCCTTCTGACGGCCTCCGTAACAGACAAAGAGCTGCTCTGAGGTCCTGAAGCTTTGTGTCCGGTCCACGTACAATCTTAGAACACAGATGGGACAGAGCAAAGCTAGGGTTGGGTCTGCCTCATCTGGGGGCAGTGCTTGCAGGTTCACTACCTGATTCCTGAAGGGAGTAGTAGGAACCTTGGGCACATAGCCGGGTCTCAGAGTTACCCGAGAGTCAGCTGACCCGAACTCGAGGCACGATTCGTTGACCAAAAATGCGGGCAGGTCCCCTACCCTCTTAATAGAGGCCAATGCAACCAGGAGCAGAGATTTCATTGAAAGAAACTTCACCTTGACTGACTGCAAAGTCTCAGCTGGAGTGCTCTGAGCATCAGAGTCAGGTCCCAAGAGGATATTGAGGAAGGACGAGGAGGGTTCAACCCGACGAACCGAACTTTGACGACATCCACAGCTAGAGATGGTGCTCCTGGACCACAAGTGTGGACATTGCATGACCCGGAGGACTTGCGGTGACTTTCGTCATTTGAAGCACGAGGTCAGTTGCGGTTCGGAGTTCTTTCAGAACCTCTGGGTCGTGGCCACACTCGTGCAGGTTCTTCAGTGATTTAGCTTGGTGGACCTGCAGTAACACCATAGCATGTAGAGCGGAGGCAGCTTCTCCACAGGCTGCATAAGCACTGCCTGGTCAGACCAGATGAGTACCTACAGGCCCAGGAGGGAAGGCATGGTTTGCCTCACCAGGTGGAGGCGGTATTAGGACACAACTGCATCACTAACAACCGCTCCACCGGAGGGACCTCTGTATACCCCCTAGCTGTACCAACGTCGAGAGTGGTGAGGGAGGAGGAGCTAGCAGGCCGGTTTCTGGCAGTAAAAGGTGCCATCCACAACCTGGTCAGCTCCTCATGCACCTCCAGGAAGAAAGGCACCGGGGCGGGGCACCCCGAGAAACCAATCAGCCAACCTCGTTGGCTCAGGACACTGGAAGTTTCAACTCGAGCCCTACTCTCTCGGCAGCCCAGGCAAGCATAGCCGTCATCTCTGGATCCGATTCAGGCATTGCCACCGTCCTGGAGGGTGGCAGCGCAGCCGAATTTTCCTCTCCAGAGAGCTCCGGCTTGCTCTCTGATGCAGCGATCGACATCCTATCGTCAGGAAGTGCCCCAAATGATACAGCTGGTACGCTCCTTTTAGAGGGCCCAGCACATTCCTTGGGCAGCTTGACTGGCTGCAGAGTGCTAGAGGAGTGATGGTCCTTCAGAGATTGGTTCCTCGGAGGAGTCACTGCCACTGTGAACCTCAGACCGCCCAAGCTACTTCCTGAAGTAGTCCTACCCCGATTTCTGCCAGGAAAAGAACCAGATTGAGGCAGAGGCACCAGAACTCCACCCCTTTTGAGAAATCGGAGCCTGGTCCGCAACTCGGAGATGGTCATATTCCCGCAATGAGAACATAACTCATCCACGAACGCAGCCTCAATGTGCATAATGGCCAGGCACGTGAGGCAGCGATCGTGACCATCACCCGGCGCCAGGTAACAACCGCATCCAGAAACGCATGGGTGGAACAGCATCTATACCAAGATGCAATGTCATCTTTACGCAGTGTCGAGTTAGTACAGACGCAACACCATCTTTAAAAAGACGCACCCACCCATGAATGC